ATCTGTGCCTATCTCCCGTTAGATGCTTTCATCCCCGAGCCGGACTACAATAGAGCGGGCTTTCCGTGGCAGAAAGAAAGGATCTGGGATCCTTTGATTCAGTATATTGTTTCCCTTAGATATGCCAGATCGACAGGGCTGGGGATAAAGAATAGGCAGAGCTGGCGGGGAGGGCGGTTTCAGGGGAAATCTCCCCGGGAGTTCGGTCCCAGGGAGGTTTTCCCCAGAGCCTGTGTTGCTCTGCGGGCTGGTGTGTGGTTTCCTTTTGGGGGGCCGGGTCAGCGGGTGATGGGGTCACTGCTGCTGTGGCACCCGGGGTGGAGATGAGCAGGAAGCAGGGTGAGCTGAAAGAAGCAGGGTGAGCTGAAAGAAGCAGGGTGAGCTGAAAGAGACTTGGGTTCGTGGAGCTCTCCCAGGAAAGCTGGCACCGTCAAGGGCGCTGGGAAGCAGGGCAAGTTTCAGTAGCTGGAGAGTGGGCTGACTGGTGGGTGTGGCGACTTCCTGCGCAACCCTGACGGTTGAAGGCATTATTTGAGCCAGTGTTACAAGGCTTGTAAGCACCTCGAGGCTTTCTCATTATTTAAAAAAAATCCTTTAGCCTGAATATTTGGTCAGGAGGGGAACAGCCTCCTTCTAAAGCAGAGTTTTATGATACCAAAATGGTGCATTTATACAGTTTTGCACTATCAACAGGCAGCAGTGCCTGGTGGCCAAGGCTGAGCCTGGGTGTTGCGATGGCTCTTTGGGTGATAGCTCCTCTCGCCTCGGTCCTCAGTGCCTCGTGTGACTTGCAGTTACTGAGGGTACCTCTGGACTGGGGGAGGCCCTGGCTGCCCTCTGGGTGAGTGTCAGTGCTTTGTGTGTGGCTCAGCCTTCATCTGCAGCTGGAGTGTAACAGGTTCCCACCCATAACTAGTTGTTTGCTCTCCAATTTGTTGTAAAAGAAGAATCTGGAAGAATTATGAGTGTTTGCCTTGGAATCAACAGTTCGTTTTAATTTCTTCACTACTCACAAATTTCCTTCTCTGTGCTGGTGAAAAAAGAAAGCCCAAACTTCAGCCTGCTCTCTTTGAAATGGGATGTGTTGAAGCTTCTATAAATGAATATTCATTAATGCTAGTGTTGAGTTTTGTGACCAAATCAAAGGCATAAATTAACATTAGTGAAGTTGGCAGGCATCAGACTTGGACTGCCTTTTTTATTGTAATGTTTTACACTTCTGGCCCTTCTTCTCCTCCAGCAAAAGCAAGTCAGACACTCTGTGTCATACCTTGTACACGCTGCCCGTCCCACAAGAGCCCACCAGATTTGTCTGCGTGTATCTTCTGAAAGCTGTGTTCCAGTATGGTAAATCAGATATTTCATCCTGCCACTAAGGAAATACACTGGAGCTTCAAGCCTTCTGGGCTCTGAGGAAATGTGATAGCTCTGTAAAGTTATGCAACAACAACAGTGATGATGAAATCATATAAAAATGTCATGTGTTACTGTGCTTAACATTCCCCCCACACACACA